CCTCGTCCTATACTGGTATCGGTATCGGTGCAACACTAGTATATACAAATATAATGGGGAGCCTATGAGGTTGTTGTTGGCCTGCAAATTAACCCGAATCTGGCCCATGCCTCTGTAATGGGGAGTTTTTAGGGTGGTTATTTGCCTGGCCTACAGCAGAGATGTTCTGACCACCTGCATGGCGATGCGTTTGAGATGAAAGAGGCAAGGCATCAACTCTAACACCATTACAAAGGGGTGGACCTGTTTTCGGTTAAATTTTCATGTTTTCTAAGGCTTAACAGGGCTTTTGTTAGGCTACTCTATAAAGCCTGGAACTCAACACTACTCCAGACATTTTGAATTGAGAAAGCTTTCTGGATGGGAAGCGAAAGGTCTTCAAACTTGGAAAACAAAGTCCAGTGGGTTTTTAAAATGTTTTTTTGGAATGACCATGACCTGGATGACTGAGAATCTTCACCAGCATAGAAATCTCACTCGACGCAGGATTTTTTTTTCCTCTTCCAGCACAAACTAAAGATGGTTTGTTTGTTGACTAAAATACCCTACAGCTTGGAAAGTCACCAGGGCTAAGAAAATATCGAATTGAGTTAAGCTTGTTTGCTTAACTGTTATCACCTAGAGCCTCCTATTAAGTTTGTTTACTGCTACCTACTCTAACATAGAAATTATTTATAGATCAGTGCTTCTATGTTTCTTTTGTGTATCTGCTTCTGTCTCCTTGAACTCCCAGCTGGCCTCAGCATAAGGAAACTCACACTGAGCCTGGTTCTGCTGGAGGTTTCTTCCTGTTAAAAATTAGTTTTTTCTCTCAACTGTCGCTGCATGCATGCTTGGTGTGAGGGATTGCTGTCGAGTCAACAACACAATGCAAGGTAATATCTATCGGCTCTACGTGCTCATCTAGTAGGAGTGAATGCTGCAAAATCAATTACTGGATGCAATCGGCTGGTTTTCCTTTGACAGAAAACCCTAAACTAATCATACATTGTTACAAAACCTGTCAGTGGAATTAATTACATTTTGAGGCACTTATTTCAAAATGTAGCTGCATTTTATTACCTTTGGACATTTGAATGCAATCCATTATTTCATAATGCAGTGTTAAAACTGGTAAATAAGAGCGTTCATATTTAATAACAGAGATTAATATTTTGTGAATCACCAGTTAATAATGGATTTTTTTTTAACAAGACCAAATGTGACATACAGTGAGGAAAATAAGTATATGAACACCCTGCTACTTCTGAAATTGTCATCGTAGGTGCATGTCCATTGTGAGAGACAAACTTTAGAGAAACCCAAAAATTCATTGTTGGGTTTTGGTGTGGAGACTGGCTACGCCACACCAGAACCTTGATATGCTTCTTACAGAGCCACTCCCTAGTTATGCTGGCTGTGTGCTTCAGGTTATTTGGGGGAGTGGCGGCCTAGTGGTTAGGGCATTGCACTTGGAATCCAGAGGTTCGGAGTTCGAGCCCGACTCCCACAGACTGCTTCGCAGTAGGGAGGGTGTTCTTGAGATGGTACTCATCATTCTCCATGGTTAGTAAAATTATGACCAAAAGGTTGTATTTTGGTCTCATCTGACTATGGGACTTTCTCCCATGACTCCTCTGGATCATCGAAACGGTCATTGGTAAACTTAGGACAGGCCTTGACATGTGCTGGTTTAAGTAGGAGAACCTTCCGTGCCATGCATTATTTAAGACCATGATGTCTTACTGTATTACCAACAATAACCATGGAAATGGTGGTCCCAACTACTATCAGGTCAGCTCCTCCCTTATAGCTCTGGGCTGATTTCTCACCTTTTATTAGGATTATTGAGACCCCACCAGGGGAGATCTTGCATGGAGTCCCAGTCAGAGGGAGATTGACAGTCATGTTTAGCTTCTTCCATTTTCTAATGATTGCTCCAACAGCTGACCTTTTTCACCCCCCCCAAAAAAGAAAAAAAGCTGTTTTGTTATTTACCCATAGCCCTTTCCAGCCTTGTGGAGGTCTACAATTTTGTCTCTAGTGTCTTTGGACAGCTCTTTGATATTGGCCATTTTAGTAGTTGGATTGTTACTTATTGTATGGGGCGGACAGGTGTCTTTATGCAGCTAATGACCTCAAACAGGTGCATCTAAATTAGGATAATAAATTGAGTGGAGGTGGACATTGTGAAGGCAGACAAACAGGACTTTCAGGGTCAGAATTCTAGCTGATAGACAGGTGTTCAAGTACTTAGATTTTTTCAGCTTATGTGTATCACAGTTGACATGTACGTACAATTACATTTTCAAAGCCCTCCATGATTTGTAAGTTGGAGAACTTGCAAAGTAGCAGGGTGTTGAAAAAATTGTATTTTCCTCAGTGTTTCTCAAATGTAAATTTCATATCTGTTGAATGCACTGTCAATGTCTTTTACCTTGTCCGCACTGATTTTGACACATGTTGCGCTGCTGGATGGCCGGGTGTTCAGGTTCTGGTCCAAAGGCGTCTCATTGGTGACATTTAAAGGCAGAACAAACCTCCGAGGAAAGGTTCTGTCAGTGGTTTTATACACCTGGGAAGATCGCAGAGGAACATTTCTGTTTTAGAGAACCCCTGACATCAGCTACAGCTCATGTTTTTCATGTCTTTATAAGCAAAGCTAAATTTTTGTACAAACACAGCGCATAAAGCTGATTCTAATTATTCAAATTAATACGACAGGTTAGGTTGTTTTACTGACTTCATCCAGCGCCTCTCCTGATTTGCGTAAGTTCTGAATGAGGTAGTTGCTGATGGCTTGGCCGCCATCTGCGCAGCACATATCCACCATGAGGAAGCCGTCCTCCTCAAAGGCATTGATCTGATGGAAGGTGGAGATCGCTTTGGTGTGGTACCTAATGGGAGTGACCTAGACGACAATACACAAAATCAAAAAGGGACAAAAATGACAATAATGTTGATCTAAAATGGAAAAATCCAATATTAAAATTTTATCTAACCTCTCCTGTACGCTTGTCAATGAGATGGAAGACGGTGTCCTGTTTCGGGTCCCAGTATATTCCCTTATTCAAAGCCTTTCCCCTTATCTTGCATGTGACTATCTTCAGGAGGTCCATCTTAATTGGCTGCTCGATGAAAACGACGTAGTTCTCAGACATGGCTGGAAAGGAAAAAGATGAAGAGAGATGGTGTTAGACCTGAGAGCCAAAAATGACAATTAGTTAAAAGGAAGAAGGCTGGATCACCGAAGCTGTGGTAGTAGGAGGGATGGGACTTGTTTTCTGGAACAATTGAACAGAGCACTTTGGCTCCTTGCAGGGTTTCATTGCTTTCTGTTTTCTTAGGGGGCACTTTGATGATGTTGTACAGAGCTCCTGAAACAGATGAGATAATTGCCGGCTTAGGGATGAGCATTATATATAAGATAAGAAAAGAAAAAGTAGAAAAAAAAGACAAAAACACTAATATGTGTTATTAAACTGACCTTTGCTTCCATAGGAGTTTCCCATATTGTAGGCTGTGCCATCTGGGTCGTAATGGGGATGAGCAGTGGCTCCATTCACTGCAATAAACTTGCTCCAGTCAACCTGGAAAATAGAAGGCATCTGTCTGTTTTTAACGTGTTGTACAAAAGTTTTAGCCTGGGTGCCATTCCGAACTTAGTCCTGCCCACAACGTTTAAGGTCGGGAAGTTCGGTCTGGCATTGCTTAATAGTAGCGTGAGTATGCTCGCACAATATCTGGCGGGCCAATCAAATTGTCAGGGCGGGCTTTATACGATGATGGACAGATGATCAACAGTAACGTAATCAACCACGTCACCAAAGCGCGCTTGGTTGACAACAACAATGGCTGCCGTTGGAGAGTTGAGGTGTGTAGATTCTGCTATTAGGTCTGTTTGATCATTTCATTTCATTTATTTATTTATTTCGAACACTTAATAAAAAGCAAATATAAGTAAATTAATGAAGTCATAACAAAACAAAACAAAAAAGAAAAAAAAAACATTAGGATTCCGCCAAAAGTACCCAAGCGTAATTCGTTATTTAAACTACTCTGTACAAACATTTTGAATATTTTTTGAGTGCAGATTTAATAGGCCCCCCAATATTTCACAACCATGAGTCTAAGCATCTTCTCCTGCTTTTTATGCCTGAGTAAATTATCTCCTACTCCTTTGTGGAATTTTTAACGTGTACTTATGTCAACTTTTGTCACTTTGAGAGTGGAAACGAAAAGTAAACTGCCTGCTTTTGTCTATTTTTTAAGAAATTCCAGCCACTAGAAAGAGAACTGTTTCCCTTCTAGTTGTGGATAGTTTTAACAACATAATATTATCAATTAGTTTTTTTTACATTCCCTGTTCATAAATGTTTATAAAATCTTTACCAATTCTCTCTGATTTTGTAAATGTATTAAATGTTAATAAAGCCCCTGCAACTAAACCTTTCTCTTAATATAGATCATTGCGAAACCCCTACTAACTCTGCTATCTTTTTTTAATTTATATTCTTTGTTTACACAGTCTGGTGAAATACAAAGTTAGGGTGATATTATAATGTAAAAAACATTTTTTGTGTTCTGCTTTTTTTGTATTTTGTTAGGGAGGTATAATGCTTGACCTGGATTTTTTTTTTTTTTTTTTTTTACAAAAATGTATTTGTTTTTCTGTATCTTTTGTATTTTTTTTTATTCCATTTGTTGTTGTTTTTCTCTCCATAAAAAGAAAAAAGGTTCTAAAATTAGCTTCAAACTGATTAGAAATTATAATATCTCTGTTCATGTACATAAAAAAAATAAATGTCAGGCTCCCTCAATTTAAAAAGAAAAACTAGCATTAGCTTTATTTTACATAAAGTTCCAATTTTAACATTTATCATCAGAACACATTCATAGCTCAATGTAAGTTATTTAATAATTACCTAGGTGCAAGGTGGAGAGAATATGAAAAGCAAGAATAAACCTGCATTAATGCTTGTAATATTTTGGGGTCCTCATGGTATTGAATGTAAAATGTTTTAACATCCTCCTGAGGACCACCTGCCTTAATGGCCATTATACCAACCTCTCCATGGCCTCACTGAACTCCCCCCAGGCCCAAGTTCTTTGCCTCAGCACCTACCCAAGCTGTGGCATACCTGTGAGCTGCATTGGGTGTCCAATAAGCCAGTTAGGCACAATAAGACTCCTTTGCTTGATGACATCCCTTATCCACCACCAGGTTGTGGCCACTACTGCCACACTGCAGACCCAACAGCCACAGCTGCATCTCTTGGCCATTTCCCCCCCGTTAAAATTAAGGATCCTTTTGTCTTGGTCACGGGTTAAACTGGGTGTCCCTATCAATCTGTTTTGGCTAACAATTGGGCAGTTTTAAACCCTGCTGTGTTCATTGGTATTCATGACACTGCTTGTCCTTCAATCAAAGTAAATTATTGTCTAACTTCTCATTTACTGCAAATAACATGTGTTGCTTAAGTCATAGATGCCACCACCATCCATGAATGGGTAAAGAGGAATATTGGAGCTGTTAAAACTGTAAAACATGACAGACAAAGATGTATTGCAAAAAAAACTAGGGTGGAATAAGGAATGAATTTTGTTTCATAGTTGTTGAAATTACAAAACACATTTTGTAAATGAAGATTTCAGAAAAAATAAATTCAAACTGTCTTCACTTCTTGGGTTGGGAGCAAAGATGGATTTCTATTTATCTGCAATAAGGTCAGCAACATTTGTATTGGGCTTGAAGTGCAGTAAATGTGATCTTTAATACACATTTTGGAAAGAATGCAAAGAGAATGCAGGTAAAGCTGAAAAAAACAGAAAAAAAACGAAAATTGAAAATATAAATTCATAAAAATAATAATAAATTCTGATAAAATAAAATAAAAAATATAAAAAAAAAACTATTAAGAAAACAGCAAAGTAACTTATTTTTTATTTTTTACTAAGAGGTTTCTGAAAACTGGATTGATTGTTCTTAAGTTTCCATTTTCTTCTGCTTGCAACAATAACTCCAATATATTTTTGATGATGATGATGATTGTACCTTTTCCACCATTTCCAGGGTTTCAGGGTTCACTCTGTGCATGAAATTGGTCTCTGTGCTGACATAGTAGTCACCCTTGTATTTTACAAAGCTCACGCTGGCATTGTCTGTGGGTTCTGTAACAGAAGCGAAAAAAAGGACATATGTTCTGCTTTTATGCTTATGAAACAGAGTTTTCAGCTTGAAGTTATTCTGTGGAGTTTGCGGGTTATATAAAGCGTTTTCCCCTCCCTAGCTCCCTGCTATATTTCATTATTATGTAACTGCAGCTTAGACAGAATTCCTTAAGAGGCTTCACTCCAACACAGCTGGAGAACAGAGGGGTTTGCACAAACAAGGATTGAAATGTATTTTGTTCCTACGCTTGATGCACATTCCTTAAGCTAAGCTGTCGACTGTCTTTATCTCATACTTCATCATTTTTAAAGAATAAACTCTGTCCTTTATTTAGAGCCTGAAAGAAGTTTAAAAAGTTAAGTGACAAACTAAAATCGAGCAGCATTCCTGGATTCTGACAAAGAACACTCTGTTCCTTTTTCTCCACACTCTGTCAAACATTATTTAACAATCCATCCATTCTGCTGCTTACCCATCATCTCAAAGCGAGAGAGGAATCTCTGGAAGAAGTTTTTACAGGGATCAGGCATCGCCAGAGTACCGAACTCTGACATCATGATGCGATCCCTCTCACTGTTCTTCTTGTAGGCGTCGCTCTGCAGGAAGCGGCTCATGTACGTCACCTGGCCCTTCTGGATCTTAAACTGGTGGAGCATGGCCATCCCATCAAACCAATGGTTGTAGCTGATAGTGAAACACTAATGTCAGGATGAATGTTGAGAAGCGTGCACAGTGAACTGCTTTCTCTACTTACTGTGTGTTTCCAAATTCGAACTTCCCCGGTCCATTGCGAAGGAAGTTACCACTGATCCAGGATGGGATAGTGCCTTGGACCGTGGTGGTGATTGGTTCAGGGGTTTCCTCCGCTGTCTTGATAAGTGGAGCGATACACTCCAGTCCTGTTATTACTTTGGTCTTGGTATTGTCTGAACACTTGGCCTCATCTGGAAGAAATACAACAAGTACCTTCTTTATCTCTACAGATATAAAATAACTTGCTGCTAATTTGCTTGCTCAGATCAGATGGGTGTGCAAAGAATACCAACCTTTCACCAACTGACTTTTCTCTGCATTGACTAGCAACTACAATTAAGCTGTCGTGTTTGTCAAGACTTTTTTAAAGATTCAGTTGGTACTTTTCTACATTTCTCAACTGAAATTGGATCTTTTCGTAGATTAGATTAAAAATGTTTATAATTCTTGAGCTATTAAACATTCTATTTTAAATGAATTCCTGACATCAGAGATTCTGGTAATAATGGTGTGTAGTGGCACAGTAATTAGTACTATTTGCCTTAAAGCAAAAGAAGTCCTGGGTTCGACTCCAGGCCTGATTTGTCCTTTTCCTGATTAACTAATACAGCTTCCTTCCAGGGGTGGAGCTAGATGGGGGCCAGGGGTGACCATGGCCACCCTTAATCATTGGCCACCCTCTTTTTTTTTCTTTTTTACAGGAGAGTAGAGAAAGCCATATGTCTCGTCAAGTCATCCAGGAGCCTTCTATGTATCACAGATAAAAAAAAAACCCAACTAAATCTATGTAAAAGTATGCATTAGTATATGTATATATTACAATTATGCAGAATAGTTACTGACAAAAGTATATTGAACATTTTTTGCAGAACTGTAAGAAAGAAATGACCAGTTTGTTTTTTGAATAACTGTGGATCTTTAAGACCGTCCTACCTAATAATACCACAAGTACACTCAGATTTATATTTCCTTCTTGTGAGGGATTCCTCTTATTTTAATGAGCTTGAAAATCTTCTTTTTGTAACTCTGACATTTTTATAGTATACAGTGAGAACTGGAGCTAGCTGAACCCAAATCTAACTGGATGCATAAGCACCAGAAGGGCTCATGCACAGCAGGAGCAGACCAAGCATAAAGACCCTCAGAACTAGAAGCTGAAAGATCACCCACTATACTTTTAATTTGGAGATCATGGATGTGTAAATATATTTGTCTATTTATTAGCAAAGGCTTTAGGAGAGGCTAGTTTGTCCTTATTTGGAAACTATAGACATTTTGATTTTTTATTTTCCTGTTGGTGCAAAGTAGATTGACCCCTAACTGATCCGCTATCATCCACTCCTCTCTGCACATTGGTTCCTGCCTGTCCACTCCTATAAAATAATTCTGACTTTTTCCACTCACATACCCGAAATATACATGTTAGACCAATTGGATGCTGTAAATTTACCACATTTAGACTGGGCTTATTTATGTGGTATAGAGGAATGTAGAGGAAGTCTTTTAACGACTTGTTTATGATTGTTAATAATCAAAGCAAAAAGCCCAACAACTTTTTAGATCAGTTTCACAGAGTTTTTCAACATTGCATGACAATTACAGAATAACACTGTCATTGTCTGTCTGCTTCACAGCATATCTTACTCCCCTGGTACCAGAGGAATGACTTCAATTATTGAAGACATCCAGCTGAAGAGTTTGAATGCTTCTTTACATTCCAACTGTCATTTGTTTCTGAATGCAAAACATAAAAATATGTTATTGAAATTGAGAAAATCCTAGAAGGTATCTTTATAACTAGAACTGAATGAATGAATCTTATATTTAGTGGTACTATAGTGATGAACGACTAAAATAACCATTAATAAAACGTAGGGACCTGCATAGCTGTGCCTCCCACAGCATTTATAGCCATACAATCAAAATAAATACAACTCTTTCAAAATATAAAAGATTAAACAGGTTTCTTTGGGACAACAGTTACATAAAGACGTATGATTTATTTGGCAAAAATGACAGTTATTTAATCATTCTTTGACTTTGTAAGTCCTCCAATCGAAAAATAGAAAGAAAATGAATGAAGAAAAAAGTAAAAGTAAAAATAAAAAGACAATTCAACAGTATAAAACATTGATAATTCTAACTTATCTGATAAACTATAAATCTGTATTCTGATTAGAAATGTGTCATGAAAACAATAAGCAGTATGATAAATGCCCACTCAATTTATGCAGTTTGCTTGCTCTTTTTTTTTTAGATTTACCTTAAGTCAAAAAGAAGTTTGAGCGCAATGAGGACAGATATTTGTATCACTGGTAAATAAAATTTACAATTAAGATTTGTTTGATTTAACACTAAGTCAATTTAAAGGTCTAAAAATGGTATTCATCTTTTAGTCATGGAACTACACATAGAAAAGAAAAAACAATATGGGGGGAATTCGCTGTTTACTCAATGGTATCAGTTAAAGGAAATATTTTTGAATAAAACAAGAGTCTGACTTAATTTTTCCTGGAAAGACGGTAGCAAAGGTTTAAAAGAAAAATCAATACTTTTATTTATTCGATCAATGATGCCTTTTTGCACAATCCACTTCTTTAGAACAAACAGGACTTTATTTTTGATCGCCCGAGATACCTGATAGACACTCATCTAATGTAAAATGTTAAAATAAAGATCTGACAGATTAAAATTGTACAGCACTGATCAGTTTCCTGTTCCTTCTGTTCTTGCAGGCTTCACTTGTTGCATCAGTTTTTTTATTTTTCTTGACAAACCAACTTGTGAGGTTTTATACTACAGGACTGACGGATTATTTCAGCAAAAGAGCAATTCAAAATAACAGAGGCGAAAACTATAACAAGGCAAACTTGTTATTACTCAAAGTAATTATTGAATATCTGCTTAACATTGTTCCAAAAATGAGATTAAATGTACAAAAAAGCAACAATTTATCATTAAAACACACGCTGACAACCAGTTTCCTAAGAAAACAATTGCTTAGCTGCTATTTTCTATGTAAATATTGAAGGCTAATTTGCTGTAAGAAAGCAGGAAAATTCTATTTTTGTTTTAACAGGATCTTTCAAAAGAAAAGAGAAGAAATGTTTAACCCTAAACTCCCAATAAACAGTATGACATGTGTTAAAATAAAGAATGTTAATTCGGCTCGCTTTTTAAATAAAATATAAAAATGTAATTTAAAAAATGTGTTTCATAAACTGTTGTTTATTCACCTTCTTTGGTAAAATCATAAAAGTGACATATAACAGATAGGCTCTGAGGCCACAGTTTGGATACCCCTGTTATGATGGTGGAGGAGATGGCTGCTAATGCTTTCAATAACCTTATTATTGCCTGAATCGAATCTTCTGATTTTAGAAGAAATCTGCGATTTAAAAGGACATGT